GTCAGAAAAGAGTGATATGAACAAGATTCCAGCAAATACCCAAAGTTAGCTTTAGTCATTCTTCCAAATGCATTAAAATGTACATTTGCATCCACCTTCTTGATTTGGCATTCTTAGTGAACCTCTCCCACTTACTTCAGTCTACATCCTTCTGGCTTCTGATATTTTTCCAGAAATACATTAAACAAAAGAATTGCACTTATAACCATAGAACATCTAGTGTAGTTCATCAGTGTGTGTGTGTGTAGAGATTGAAAACATTTATACTCTCTACTGCTTTTTCATTAAATGTGCTTAGAGGAGCTTCTGAACAATGGTTATATCTAATAAAAATTTGAGAGCAATAGTATGTGTTAGTCAAGTATAGCAGATATCCAAGATCACAAGATGCTTTTTAGAGTTTTATAACAAAGTGGTTATTAATTTGGCAATAGAAAGGGCATGAGGGTGCAGAGAAAGGGGAAGCTATCCAAGTGGTGAATTCATGGGCTCAATTAATGAATGAAAAGATTAAGATAAATCAGTATTAGACAAGAAGAAAATATTGGCTTTGAAATACAATTGAACTTATTGAGGGTTCTGAGTATGATTTGCTGGAGTAGTACCTAATTGGGTGGCTCTTTGCCTTCTGGCCATGTAGTTGAGTGATCAAATGGCTGACCTCTGAACCAAGATGGGCGAAAACTTACTCCCTGGAACATTAAACTTGAACTGTGAGGTAAGAGAGAGAACTTGCTGGGCTTAAACCTGGTAACAGTGGTGCTCTAGAGAAAAATAAGGAATTTCTACAGTCATAACCTCAGAAGCTGTCCTTATTCCTGCAGTCCTTTAATTTTGGATTTCAGCTCTATCTAAGATTGCATGAACTAGTTCAGTATTTTTCCAACAGATGTCTTTGTGCTTAAGTTAGCTAGAATTTGCTTTTGGGTTGCTTGCAAGCAAAAAAAAAAAAAATTGTATGACGTTTTGAGGTCAATTTCATCTTTCATTTTGATTCTCATCCAATCAAAAATGCCAGATATTTTGTTAGTGAGGAGAGAGAGAGTGGTGACGGAGATGAACTTGATTTCTGCTTCATGGAGCTTTCCGTCCAGCAGAGAAAACAGACACTGATAAAGTAATGAAAGTAAAGAAATGGAAAGGTTTTATACATTCATCAACAAATATTTATTGAGCATCTATAATATATAAAAGGCACTGTTATAAACCATTGGTACCTCAGTAAAGAAAACAAAGATCCCTGCCCTTTTATCATGTAACAAGGGATGAAAGCAGTAGATAATAAACATCGAAATATATAAATAAATAACATGGATTTAGAAGATGGTAATTGCTATGGGAAAAGAAATTAAAACAGGGGTCAGAAGGAACAGTATATCACAAAGACTGGAAGCCAGAGAGAAATAGCAGGTTGGAGAAACTGAAAGATTATTAGAGCTAAAATACTGGCAACAAGGCAGTGGCTCAAAATGAAGATGAAGAGGTTAGCCAAATAGATTGTTAAGGACTTTATAAGCCATTGTGAGGATTTTGAACTCATCCTAAGGCAATCCAAAGCCACTTAAGAGTTTTAAGCTATAGACTGACATGATCAGATTTGCATTTTAGATGTATCATTCTGCCTGCAACCCAGAAAACACATCTAAAGCAAACAGTAGTGGATGGGAGAGAGTAATTAGGAGGTTCTTGTCCGAGTCCAAATGAGAAATGGTGATGCTCTTGACTAGCATATGTTTCATGAATTGGAAAACAGTAGCTGTGTTAAAATGGCTGTTATTGAGGCTTAGATTTTCAGCTTCTCACATTTAGAACAGATTAATGCCTGTCCAGATTTATCTTCTGTTCTTTGGGCTTTGATGCTATATAAAGCCAATTTGAAATGTTGACCACTTTTTCATTGGCTTCACATCCATGGAGTTTAATTATGCCTCATCTTTAGGAACAAAAATATGATAAGTGGATATTTAAGGAGCTGTGGCAGCCCTAAGACAGGCAGTCATTGTACTCCTTAGTGTCTGTACCTAACTAACCACATATTGTCATCCTCAAATTCTGAGAGAATCAATACAGGATACAAGCAAACCAGGTATATACAACTCCTCTATTAACAGGGCCTTCCCCCTAAATTCTCATATTCTTTTCCCTAGTGAGATAGTGTAGATAATGTAGAAGAAAACCACATGCTCTTTTTACCACTCCACTGTTGGGTTTAAATGAAGGGTTACATTCCTTTAAGCAATGGGTCATTTGGCCTCATAATTTGTTATGACCTCTTATTATGCTCACATAATATATTTTAAAGGCAATGCAACTAGACAAGTATTATGCTTGTTTGCTGCACAAGCAATCAGCACTTAACCAGTGTCACAGGTATATGTTACGGTTATGCCTCTCTGTAATAATTTGAATTTTTTAAAGTTTATTTCTTTATTTTGTGAGACAGAGGTGGGTGAGGGGCAGAGAGAGAGAGAGAGAGAGAGAGAATCTCAAGCAAGCTCCTCAGTGCCAGCACAGAGCTGGGATCGTGACCTGAGCTGAAATCAAGAGCGGGACGCTTAACTGACTAAGCCATCCAGGAGCCCCTGTAATCATTTGAATTTTTAATTTCCAGCGACAGACTAATCCCAACCTAAGCAATCAGTTCCTTCTTTCCTTTGAGTTAGGTCTAGCTCAGGCTTTTGCAATCTCAAAAATGTAGACAGAAATTGTATCTAACCTTCAACTCCATTGCTTTCCAGTCCCAAAATATAATAACAAATAGAAAAAGAGACTTTTCAATTTCCTTGTCATCCCTCCAAAAATTTCCCCTCTTATTCTTGAGTAAGCAAGAAAGGAACAATACCAAGTACCACTTTACCATATTGGAACATGGTTGCCTGTGGTACAATTGAATGTCTTTGGTTCTTGAGAAATCTGCCTTTCCTAAGGAAGCTGGGAACTTACAGATATGGTTTTTAACGGCTTCTGTTGCAATATCTTATTATAAGAATGTGCTTTTTAAACATGGGTTTCCATCTTGTATTATTTTGTGTCTTGGAGGTTCTTCCTCATGAATTACTTTGCATCTTGTTTGAAGTGAACCATTTTAAAATTTATATCCTGTCCTACTTTTATTTCAAGAACTTTACTTAAAATATCTTTTGTTCTCTTGCCCTGCTCAGATATGCAATATGCATGCACATTTTATGCATTTCACATTCTTTAAGGTAGAGAAAATAATATGCTAATTTGAATAGTGGTAAAATCAGAGTCAGGATAGAGATTTTATTCTCAGAAGAGTGGACAGTGCAATATCTTCTTATGGATATCTGTTCTCTCCATTGTTAATATAAGTCAAGCAAAAGACATGGATTAGTAAAAGAAGGCATTGGACCATGAACTTGGGAGTTTGATGGAGCCACATAGTGAATGTTTGCTCCTTCAGGGCAGGGAACATGTTCTACTCCCTTTTGTATCACCTACTCCACCCGCGGAGTCAAGCATATACATACCAGTATCTCAACATGTACTCAGATGAATGGAGAATATTGAAATTAATTATAAATCCTTATACGATGTTTAATACTATACTTAACTTTACTAGAAAATACACAAAGGATGGCCAAAGAAGAGATTTTTGACTAGGTTTTAAGCATTGGGTCATGTCACTCTTTAGGGCTGGAATGTGGACACCCCCAAGAGAGGCAGAGCCCAGGAAGGGAGCTAGCCTCTGGAGAGCAGACTAGAAATTAGACAGTGGTCTTCCAATATGAGTATGCAGAGTCCTAGGCAGGACCTCCTGGGAGTTTCGGATACAGTAGATCTGAAGCAGGGCCTGAGAATTTGCCTTTCTCATAATGCCCCTCCCAGGTGATGCTGATGCTGCTAATCCAAATAGCCCACTTTAAAAACTACAGAATTAGACCTTTCGAGAGAGCTGGCTCAGCTCAGGGGACCTGGGCAGGCTGCTTGCTGTGTGATCTGCACAGAGAACGGGTGATTTCCAAGAGGTCTGAGGACAGTCTAGAATAGTTTTAAGGGTCTTGCTTTCTCTTGAGCAACAGGACTGATGGCTACAGTCTGGCAGGAAAAGGAGAGAATGGCTTCACAAACTCAAATGAGAATTAAAATTAGCTGACGTACATGAGATGGAAGTTGGAATGCATGGAATCAACTTAGTAATACTTTTAGCTAAGTTAACCTAATTTAGCAGTGTAAGACCATGTACGTATATATCTAAGCTAATTTATATATAGGTTATTCACTGAAATATCCTTACACTGCAAGGAAAGTTGATGATCTTTAGCTGACTGTGCATATGTCAAGGTAAATGGGGAAGGTGGAGAAAGGGCAGCCCAAGGAGAAGGGAAAGCCCATTCATCCTAGAGAAAGCATTTAGGAGAATCTACTCCCACCCTTCCCCCACCCACTAAGGGCTGTCTCCCAGATAAGTAGCCTTAGGAAGTTTCCGAAACAGTGGCAATGGCTTTGGTAACCAGGTATCATGGGAACACATTTCATCTTATTGCAATATTGAAATGGAAATTACCTAAAATTTAGAACTGATTTCACATGCTTTGTTGTGTTCAGCTAATTAGGTTCTCACATTTATGAAGTTTTTGCATACTTCTCTGTGTTTCTTCTGGATGAATTTTATATAAGACAGTTATTATTTAGGACTTTGGGGGATATTGACACTTTTTTCATTACAGAATTTCACAATCTTGGGTGGATTTTCTCAATTTGCCAACAAAAAGGAATAGAGATATTATATTAAAATGAGCTGTGTCTAAAAAATGATACATGCTGGTAACCAAATGGTCAATTGCTTGTATTTAATTTAATTTAATTCAGTTTAATTTTTGTTAATTTGAAAATATAAAAAAAACTGTTTAGTGATCCTTTCAAGGAAAGGCTCAGCTCATGTATAAAAAAAACACATAAAAATGACTCTGGAGACCTTGGCTACACATCTAGCGGTCAAATATTTCAATGCTTCATTGCTCTCGTTCCTGTTACAGGTACATGTGACAGCGCCGCAGCTATGAGTGGAATTTTAAAGAGGAAGTTTGAAGAAGTTGACGGCTCATCACCCTGCTCCTCTGTGCGGGAATCAGATGATGAAGTTTCCAGCAGCGAGAGTGCTGACAGTGGGGACAGTGTCAATCCATCCACTTCTAATCATTTTCCCCGTGAGTACGGAAACCACCCCTGAAGCTAATTGTCTGATTCTACAGTGAAAATAACTGCATCATCTTGGTCACTGTTTTGAACCTTTATTACTAGTTTTGTTTTATCCTTGTAATTGATCTAAAAACAAAGCATGATTAAGTAAAGAAAAGAAGTGTTTTTGAGGTATCAATAGATTCTTTTATTTGGATTGCTTTGGGGAGTGGTTTATTTGATAGTGTTAACCAACTGACTCAATGCAAAACTGGTATCTCTTTTTTTAATTTTTTAAATGTTTATTTATTTTTGAGAGAGAGCTCAGGGGAGGAACAGAGAGAAAGGGAGGCACAGGATCCAAAGCAGGCTCTGTACTGATAGCACAGAGCCCGATGTGGGACTCAATCTCACAAACCATGAGATCATGACCTGAGCTGAAGTCAGCTGCTTAACTGACTGAGCCACCCAGACACCCCCAAAATGGTTTTTCAGTATTATTAATTTTAATTTTTGTTAATGTTTTATTTATTTCTGGGAGAGAGAAAGAGAGACCGGGTGGCTCAGTCATCATGACCTGAGCCAAAGTTGGATGCTTAACCGACTAAGCCACCCAGGCGCCCCCGTTATTACTAATTTTAAAAGGAAGCACCCTATTGAGAGTAGATGTGGAAAGACAAGTCCAGGCACAGGCATTTATCCTCCCAAAGCTGAAATGATATTCTGGGAGGAAAAATAGATATATTTGGGAATAGAAAGTCTAGGTTATGATGAGAAAGAGCGTGCCACCCATGCATTAAGAGATGAGAAAGGTACAAAACTCACCCAAGTGTGTGAGTGTACACAGTTTTTACTTCTTTCTACTCATTCCTTTATTCTTCATCCCCAAGAATAATATTTAAAACCCACAAAGAAAAAATAGAGATGTATGCCTTCTCATCGATTCTTTTTTCTGTCACACTATATGTTAGCCTTTCCTGTCAAGAAAGATATTGTGAGGTTTGCAGGACTGATGGAAATTTTTTTAAAATTTTTTAATGTTTATTTATTTTTGAGTCAGAGAGACAGAGTACAAAGGAGGAAGGGCAGAGATAGAGGGAGACACAGAATCCGAAGCAGGATCCAGGCTCTGAGCTATCAGCACAGAGCCCAGTGTGGGGCTCTAACTCACGAGCTGTGAGATCATGACCTGAGCCAGTCAGACACTTAAACAACTGAATGACCCAGGAGCCCGAAAAAATTCTTAATATAATCTGCAAGCTAAAAGAAACTGACTAGTAATAGCTAAACGATCTTTGGAAAATTATGTTTCCAACAAGAAGATTTTACTGTATCATGATACCATGAGAGATAACAAGTCCTAGTTTATCCATTTTTCAGTTAAGTGTCTGATTTTATTAGCATATGATTCTATAACATGGAATTTAATTTGGAAATGTGAAAACTCAGAAAATGAAAAGAATAAACAAGAGCTTGAAGAGGAAATAGGATCTCAATAAAACTGTTGAGCATGAAACAAACTAAAATCAAAACCATTCCTTTAAACAATCAAAACTAATAGAAAATATAGTGAAAGGGCAATTATAATTATCACAACAGAAAAAGATCATCATATATTTAGGGACAAGGTAATTGTGCAAAATAAAAATCTACAAATACATTTATATATGTCATGATGATATGAAATGAGCTTGTGTTTTTTATTTAAAGAAGATACTTGTGTACTTATTTGGTCTTAGTATTAAATAGTGATAATAACAACATCATCATCTGATAGAGTTTTGTGAAGATCAACAGAACAAGTGAGATAAAACACATGAAGGAACTTTGGAAATTTTTAATACTAAGCACATTTTGTATTGAAAATTATGATCATAGCTAATATTTATTGGGTACACAAATGCTACCATAGCTTTATATACATTATCCCTACTCTTTCTATCGATTCTAGAAATACCACTACCTTCAATTTACACAGGAAATATATATGGCTCAGAGAGGCTAAGCATCTTGCCCCAGATCACACAGGATTTGAGTTTAGATATATATGTATATGTATGTAACTTACTCCATAGTCTTCACTTTTTCCATTATACTGCCCTTTAATTATATAATATTGGACATATCTTTAAAATGTTGTTTATTGTGGGGGCACCTGGTTGGCCAGTTGGTTGAGCATCATATTCTTGATATCAGCTCAGGTCATGATCCCAGGGTTGTTGGATAGAACCCTACATCAAGCTCCACACCAAGCCCTGAGCATGAAAACTGCTTGAGATTCTCTCTCTGTCTCTCTCTTTCTCCCTTTGCCCCTCTCCCCTGCTTGCATGCGCTCTTCTCTCTAAAATAAAAAATAAAAAATAGATGTTGTTTATTGTGTATTAGTAAAGAGATAGTTTATGTTTCCAGATATAAAGATAAATAAAGTTGTTAAGGCTTTTCATATTAATTTTAAATATTAGTATGGTCTCAAAATCCTCAAGTGGATTTTCTTAGAAGGTGATAGAATGATAAAAATCTATTTGGGGAAATAAGCTAATGAGAATAAAGGTATATTTTTTTTAAAGACACTAAAATGTTTAAAAGTCATTCCAGATATTAAATCATATTAGAAAAGTATGTAATTTAACTTTTTTGATACTGTGCTATATCCAAGAAAGTATAGAAAATCTTAACATGTTATATATACGAGTTTAATGTATAAGAATAGAGCTTTACAGGGGTGCCTGGGAGGCTCAGTCAGTTGAGTGTCCAGTTCTTGATTTTGGCTTAGGTCATGATCTCACTGTGAGATTGAGACCCACATCAGGCTCTGCACAGACAGCACGGAGCCTGCTTGGGATTCCCTCTCTCCCTCTCTCTCTGTCCCTCCCCCACATCTCAAAAGTGTATGCTCTCTCTCTCTCAAAATAAATAAAAACATTAAAAAAAAAGAATAGAGTCTTAAAGAGCAATGGGATAGGGAAGAAGTATTTAATAAATGGTGATGGTGTTAGAGTTTGAAAAAGAAGTAATTTAGATACACATATCACAACATATGCCAAAATACATTCCAGAGGGATTAAATAAAAAAATATTTTAAAAATCAAAATATGGGGATATTGTTTATGTGTCAGCCGTAGGATCACTACCTGAGCTTTGAAGTAACAAAAAAAGTCACATTGCAAAATACTGGTATTAAATATATTATTTATTACATTTAATTTAATAAAAAACTCACATGAATCTTTTAGATATCCTCCAGAGGTAATCCACACAATAGGAAATATGATTAGCAAATATTTTAAAGCATTTAACAATAGTAATAATGATACAGATTAAAATAATACTAATGAGATTCCGTTAGTATGAAATCACAGAAAATTCATCTTCATGAGATTAACATCCCTCTCCAGTAAAAACTACTGATACCTAAGTACTAGTGAAAGTCACAGTATAAATCATAGGTACATACATTGCTACTGATGGTAGTGAAATTTAGAAAGCACTTGGGAAATATAAGAGCCATAATAATATTCATATCTGTAAGTCTGTACTTCAGATATTTACCCAAAGGGAGAAACATCAAAACTGAAGGGAAAACTGTATCAATGAAAAGTTGATGGTTAGTGGTAGTATCAAATACTGCATAAATGAGAATGTTAGTGGTTGGTGGTAGTTTCAAAAAAGAGAGTTGGAGGTGGGGAAGAGAAAAGTTACATGTCTAAGAGCAGGAAAATGATCCCTTAAGTTATGGCGACTTACACAATTAATTTATTTTCATAATAGTTATGAAGACTTGACAGTATATAAAATACTCATGAGATAAAATTAAGAAAAACATGGGTGCCTGGGTAGCTCAGTCAGTTAAGCATCTGACTTTGGCTGAGGTCATGATTTCATAGTTCGTGAGTTCGAGCCCCACATTGGGTGAGCTCGAGCCTTGCTTCGGATGAGCCCCACTTCTCTCTCTCTCCCTCTCTGTCTCTCTCTGCCCTCATGGGATTTTCTCTCTCTCTCCCTCTCTCTCTCTGCCCCTAGCTCACTTGCACCCTCTCTCTCAAATAAATAAATAAATAAATAAATAAATAAATAAATAAAAAGAGAAACAGAAAACAGAACCCAAAATTTTATCTCTACTGTCAGGGAAAATCTATGTATACATAAAGGCAAGCAATGATATGGTGCCTTAAGCACTGAAAACAATTTGATTTTTTTGAGGTATTAAAAAAATGAGTGAATTTTCGTATTTATTAATTTTTATTTCTGTCAATATTTTATGTCTCCCTCAACAAATAAGTTTTAAACTTAACCTAAAATGATGGCTGTCATTCAAATTGTGTTTATATATGTGAAGATTGAAATGGTGTGAGCCCCTAAATCATGCAATTCCCCCACTAACTAGTAAAGGCTTTAAGAAGTTGTGTCTAACCAAAGTGATTTTTTCTATTGAAGAAAATAGACATATTTTATGATGTCCAAAAACTTATCAAAATGTTTCATCTCATCGTTTATTATCAGGGTGGCTGGCGATGTGTTAGTTTACTGGATTGATGATTTAACTGTATTAAATGAAATCTGACAGATTTTTCATGATTTTTAGATATAAGTAAATGCTTGATTTAATTAAAAAGTGCCCTTTTTTTAATGGTCTGATTAGTTCATTGTATTCGTATCAAGAGATAAAAACTCTACCTAGAATATTTACTGTATGGAAGACCTGAAGATGTTAACTAATGTGAAATGGGTAGTTTAAAGGGTTTCTTGTTTCTAGAGATGCATTTCAGATTATTCACTAGTCCAAAAATTGATATGCAAATTTTTAAAACATGTTATATTTCTTTTTTCATCTAAATTAAAATATGTACTTATCGGCAGTGGTCTTATCTGCATGTAAATCTATGGATATAAACTTTTAGGAATGTTATTAGTGGTGAAACCTGTTTCTTTAGTATATGTCTTTACTTTTGAAAAAAAACCCTATCTTAGAGTAAAGAAGGATTTTTGATGACTGTCAAATTTGTATAGCATTAGGAAACCAAATTTAGTT